TAATTCTTCTGGTTCATACTTAATTAGTGCTAGTTTTACTGCATTCATTCTGCCATTTTCTGTTCTTACAGTAAAAACACGCCTTAGATAACGCTTGTTGGAATTCTGTACCGATGCCTGAAAGTATTATAAATATTGATGCGTCAGGTCATTGCTTTCGTACTATACTGCTGCTGTATATCCTCCCCGCAGACACAACTACAGGGAGACAACTATGTTTATGATATTTTTTAGTGACATCTGGAATTCTCACAGGAAGCCTGGTGCCTGCTTGTCTGTGAGGGAGAGCCACATTCATGACTCAAAGCCAGGCTGCGAAAGGGAACGTTAGTATTACTCACTCCAAAGGAATGAGTGTGATCAGGAGTGAGGACTTTAAGTTAAAAGCAAGTGTTGATATATTGAATGTTGTTCCCCGTGAATAAAAATCCAACCTGGCCAGCTGGTGAAAGTATGGAGCTGCTGTTTCCTGGTGTGTTCTCATCCATAGGAAGTCTCCTGCCCTTGGGGCCTTGATGCTGCAAGCATGTGTACTGGTCATTCATTTCAGTGTACAGCAGTATTTGCCCTTAGGACAATGTGCTGTGTGACTCCTTGCAAAGCAGAAAAGATCCCACCTTTCGCATAAATTCCACCAAAACCCACGTAGCTGGTGTTCAACCTCCCCCTGAAGTGCTGAACTAGTAGTGGGAAGCTGGATAATAGAGGTGAGCGGGAGCTCAGTCACAGAAGGCTGCAGTGGTTTGCATACGGAATGACTTCATGGGGTTCGAGCCTGCATTTCTAGAGTGTTTGTATCGTGAAGTTACAAAAGGGAATTAAATTAAGGATTCCTCAGTAGCATATAAATACGTAACAAATACGACAAAGGTTTTCATGAAGAAGCTGTTGTTTCTTAAGGTTTGCGTGAGGCTGAGTGGAGTGTTCCAGGTTTGAGATTTCTAGGCAGCAAGGCGGTATGCATCACCAGAATATTCACTGTTCAGCACAGCAGCAGTTGCTGTTTCTTCATGCTGACAGAATAATGGAGCTCTGACTCTTCAGAGTCCTTGCTTGCTTTAGCCATATAGCGAGTAAGCATCCTGCACTCCAGCTGGTAGCCAGAAGGAAACGAATGGATTCACATCTTAGCAGATTTAGTACAGCACAGTATTGAATACTGAATCTGTAGTGCTGGAAGCCCCCAGATGATGTTTCAGTGGAGCATGGGCTATTTGGCTAGGGATTGATTTCACCTAAGATTAATTAAACTCTCTCTAAACTGGAGGGCAGAATATAACGGCCCAGTTAAGACCAGAAAACTTAGGCGGTTGGTGTAAGATAAAACAGCCCTTAGTGAGAGGTTCTGGGGCAGAAGCAAAGCAGAGTTTACTTGAGCAGGATGCAGGCTGTTAAACTGGAGTTCTGTATATGATCCAGCAAAACGTCCCCAAAAGGTTGTCTGCTCTAATGCTATGCATTTTTCAAATGGAGTCTTGTTCCTTCTGGCTTAACCCATATTCCAAAGAGGCATAAGAAGGGTTTTCTTATTTTGTGGTATTTGCAAGTTAGCAGCAACTGAGCTGGTACAGAAAAAACTGGTGTGTGGCATCTGTGCTATTCCCCACAGCAGTTAAATAATTCAGAATTCCATATGGCATGCCTTTGGTCAGACTTCCAAGTTCATCTTACAGGGTAGTTTCCAGTACAGACAAGAAGCTGTTAAAGTAATTTCTGTTACTAGATTTTATGTTGCCACAATTAGGAAAAAAGCTGTAATCTTCCTGCTTTTCTATGAGTATACATGCATTTGTAGCTAATTATACAAGTCACACAAGCAAATATAAGAGTCGTGCGTGAAACGCGGTCATAATTCTCTTTCAAAAACCAGTGGGATGTATGGACGCTGGGAAACAAAACATCTGAAGTAATCTGGCCCCCTTTAATTACTGTAACCTAAAAGTACAGGGGCGAAGGATGTTGGTGTGAAGAGTTAAACTCCAGCCAAGACAAATGTCTTCAACTGAACTATCGCAGGAACTGGAATGTGTATTAAGGTGTGTGTGAGTTGTATTTCAGGGATGGGACCTCATGGGCTCACCTGTAAGAGACTGCAGACTTGCTTTCTTGAGAGGAAACTAATTTATTATACCAGAAATTTCATAGTTGCTTGGGTAAACTGCATGACTTTGTTACATGAGGAACGCTACAGGATGGAATGAGTCATAGGTAAACAATTATCTGACACTTAAATAAAGATGCCTTTAAAAAAATAAATTAGATTGAGGTCCCATGGCTTCAATAAAGGAGGTGAAAACTTTGCAGCCTACTTAAAGCCTACTTTTGGGCCTTGGATTTTGTGCTTTAAAAATGCCCAGTACCAATTTAGCATTAAGAAAAAACTGACTTATGGTATACACTGGGCTTAAACTTGTTATTTTATATAGTGCAGCGCATGGCTTTGTACGGTGGTGTCATTAATTGTTCCCTTCCTTCAGCTTCATGCAGCTTTTGAGTGTGAGCAGAAATAAACCAAATGAGATTATGCTGGAGGTGACAGGTGAATGTATTACTCCATGGTATTGTACTGCTGCAGACAAATTCTGGGATGCATATGCTCTGGTATCTGAAGTTTCACTGCATGGGATTAGTACTGAAATCCCAACACGTGGGATTCATTCAAATTCATTCATGTTAGTTGTGTCCTTGGGCTGGTGTGTATGTACTCTGTACTTTCACCCTACATGAACAACCTTGGTTGTGTTTATCAGAGGAGACTCCCAAAACAAGGCATGGAAGTAAAGGTATATTTCTATTTCTTTATAAATTGCCTACCTATGGATACTGTTTGTAATGTGCTGGGAATAGTTATTCAAGGGGAAAGTCATTCCTGCAGGAAAGCTTTAGAATCTTCCATTGGTAAGGAAGAGAATGACTTTCAGGAGTATAAGCTCAGCAATTTGGAGACAACTATCGTTACTGACAGCAAGCTACAACTCAAAACCTTGTGTGCAAATATGCTTTAAATCCGACACGGACAAAAAGTCTAAATTCAGACTTCAGAAAGCTAGTTTGTTTTTTAGGATGGGACAAAAAAAGCAGCTGTGTCTGGCAATCACAGACTTTGGGTCTAGTCTGCAGTTCTCAGCACAGACCAGTCTAAAGATAAAGCTTACTTTATTGGTCATCACTGACTGAGTGCCCCATGACATGAGTTGAAGAACTGCACTCAAGAGCCTTCTAAATAATTTTTTCTCACATGTTTAGTTTTGACAGTTTCATTTATCAGTGTCACATGAGTCAGTTGTAGACACTGCACTGACAAGACAAGTAGCAAAATAATTTAGGAACATTGAGAGGGGTTTAAAACATTTTATAAGTCTTTTTTAAAGAAAATAAAGAACAGTTATTGTAAAATAGGACAATTTACATTATAATTTTTATTTCCAAAGCTCAGATTGATATGATAGTTTATGGCACATGAAAGAAACAGGAAAGCGAATCTAGCTATGTTGACATGTTTAGCAATTATTGACCATATGGATTATCATGATTTTTACACCAAACAGCCATGGAAAAGCTGTAGAGTCTAAAGATGCATTATACCTCATTAACACATTCTGATCTCGTGTGGCACTCGTTGTCAAACAAGCCAACGATACCGTTAAAAAATCATCTACACTAATTCAAAAGCTTCTACGTGTCAGCTCTAAAGCGTGCTGAGTAACTGGTTAAAGTGACCCATCAAAAGTGGGTCTTCTCCAAGCACCCTTTAATTCAGGATGTGTATTTGAATCCCTGCATGTCTCTGCAACAAGAGAAGACAGGAAATTCCTGGTGCAACAGTCAGATGAGCAAGCTTTCAGTTGGTAGGGCAGTTCCAGCTGGGCCTACCATATTTTGCCACATAATAACGTAAGTATCAAGAGCAGAAAATCTGTATCAGTAGTGGAGAGATTTTAGCTTCCATTGTCTAATGTTTTCTAAATTTGTAAATAATTTGTTCTCTCTGAAGCTAATTCCTCCTTTTTGATACATCATTTAGTAGATAAACATGCCACAAGCATTTAGCCAGCCAAAACCACTTAAAAGGTTCTGGATAGGTTTTTTAAAGAAATCCATAAAATGTAATGTGAAATGGTCTTTGCTGGTAGCCTTTAAAATCAAGCTCACATATGGTACCTGCAGATCACATTTCAGATGTTCATTGCTGCTGGGTTCTTTTCTTACTGCATTTTTTTTTTCTTTCCTCTAGTAAACTCTTGATTAGTAAAAATTCTATGAAAATTCCATACTCTGTAGTCAGGGGTGGGCAAGTCCTTTGAGTTGTGTGGGATCCCCATAGATCTGGAGTTCTTTGACCATGGATCATCTTCTCACACCAGTACTGGAATAGTCTTTAGTTCCTATCAAATAAGAAGCACTTGGATTTTCCGGCACAGGATGGCATGGTTGCTTGTTTCAACTATCTTCACGGCCTGTGAATCAAAAAACAGCCATTTTATTGTTGTTCATAGTTACCCAGATGTGTTAGATGATCTTTTTTCCTCCCTCTCCCTGTTGTTCCTGTCGCTGCTTTCTCTTCCCAGTTCATATTTTGTTTTCCCCTAACGCTGGGTGAATAGCATTTGGTAAATGTAGTGTTTTCTTACTACTTTGACGTTTGTACGGTACTTTAGATTTGCACGGCACCAAACAGTCTTGTTGGTACCAAAACAGCTTCTACAGATGTGCAGCGTGATAAGATAAAGATCACTTGTCAATGTTCACGTTACCCAGCACTTCCAGAAGTTGGTCCTGTCATATTTTGTAAGGAATATTACCTCTGTAATTCAAACCCCGTGCAGCTGATGGATATTTTCACAGCACACATGCAGTATCTGACCCATTTTTCTGAAGCCTGTGAGGGGGTGTAGATCACCCACATCACACTGGCAGCTCTTGCTGAATCAACAGGCACCGTATTGCACGAAAATCATGCGAGGATGATGCTTGTTTGAAAAACCGGATTAGCAATTTACTTACGAGTACCTGCCTGACATCTTCCTTACAACAGCGATTATTATTCCTGCAAGGATTCCAACTGCAACTATGATTCCAATAATGATTCCCACCAGGGCGATTGTTTCCAGACCACCTGAAAGAAGAAATTGCGCACGTTAGCGTGTTTCCCGGGGAGACTGTTGATGAGAGGCTGCCGACAGAACCGGCGCTGTTCTGCAGCCCACTCCTTGGGGAGCGTTTCCTCTGGCACAGGTTGGGTAAGTCCACTTGTGGCCTGCAGGCTGTAAACGTGCCGTTGGGCCAGGGGGCTGCATACGAGTGTCGCTGGGGTAAGAGGCAGAGCAGGGAGCAGGTTGTGGCTCCTCCTGAAACTTATTTAAGAATAGCGTGGCCATAGCTAGTGGCCTCTAGACGGACATCACCCGGCAGTTAAGTTATCCCTTGTCTTTGTAATCAGTCCTTCTGTTTAATACCTTTTTCAGTTTTCTCTGGTTCCCCACTCGGTCCACCTGTAAAGCCAGAAAGAGAACAATTTACTTAATTATTCACTCTCTGTTGCACAGAGTTTTGCACCCCCGTTTATAATGCTATATACAAGGAAAACCTTTATCAGCGATATCCCAGTGGTTTGAGGGTGCTGTGATGGGTTGTTCTTTTGATAGGGAGTAACTGAAAAGCTTGAGAGAATGAGTGCAAAGAGCTCTCTGAAGTAACAGAAAGAAATTAAAATCTAAGGGACCGATTGTGATCTAATATGTACTGGGAAACTTCAGTCTGATCACATTAAGACCCATTAAGATCAATAAGGATATACTTGACATAAAATAATTACAACTGAAACAGAAATCAGGTTTTAATTGTCTGAGACATGCTGCTTTATGCTGACAAAATTTTGCCTTGCTCTCAGTGCATTTGCTGAACTATTCCTTTTGTCAGTTTAAAAGTTCCTCAAGTTCCTTAATTAGATTTTTTTCATCTATGGAAGATTGTATAAAATCTGTTTAGTATACTTCTGTAATTCGGGAATTGGATTCATAGCCGAGTCCCCATCAGAAGCAGATGAAACACGAATGCTACTTTTAACTCATCAGAAGTATTTAATTCCAAATATATATCCTTTAGGAAAAGTCTGAAAACCCTATTTACAATTCAAATCTGCAAAGCGCTGCTCTTCTTTAATGGTGAGCCAAGACAAGAGGTCTACCCTCTCAGCAGGGACAAGGAGGCTGGGGAAGGAGATAAACGCACGCAGTTTCTAAACAGAAGTGTCCGATTTACTGGGGGATGTGAGACTGCTGTAGAACATGGAAGCTTCAAAAAGAAGCCAGCCAGAGAAAGGAGTGTTTGCTCTTAGCTCACCATGCTAAATTTGCATTTAGTTATCAAAAAGTTGGTCTGGAAACAAAAAGGCCTCTTCACCACCAGTGACTGATCCTGTTACGGAACTGGAGTATCAGAGCAGGAAGTATGATGTTGTGCTCTCTTCTTTTGCACTGGTACGCACCAGAGCGAGCCTCTCACGATCACGGTCCGAAAGAAGGCACGCAGAGCACGTGCCTGTTTCTTTGTGCCCTACGTTCCATACACAACCAGACAGAAAAGCGTAGGTACTCGGCAAGCTGTCTGGAAGAGAGCTAAACAGGCATAAGGTGAACAGGTCAGGATGCACCTCATCAGCCTATCGCACCGACCTCCTGCTCGCTGGCAGGGGTGCAACCTGCTTTGCACGTGCACACCCGTGATTTGTGTCTCTCCGGGGAAGCAATGGCAGACAACCTGGCAGAAATCAAATAGCTGTAACCATTAAGTTTTCTGCATTTGTGGATCTTTGAGTTGGTCCAACCCCCTTTTTTCTTCTGGAGAGCTGTTTGATTTTCATACTAATTATCTGAAAAGAAAGTGAAGGCTTCAGAGTTGTTGCCTTGGGGTAGAGCTGGCAGTGCAGTGGGGAACAAAATGGTATAGCTGCTGACTCCTCCTGTCGGCATGCATCTGTTACGAATTTAGGATATGGAGGGATTAGTAAAGAGTAGTATTAGAAGTGTTTCTTTTCCCTTTCAGAAATCAGCCATGCTACCTTTGCGAGCACCTTCAACTCGGTACTTGAATCTCCCAGACAGTGTTTAGTAGGTGGCAGTAGAACTTTGCTATAGTAAACCAGAAATGATTACTTCTATTTTAATCTAATGGAAATAGATTATTTCTTACCATCGGCATTTTCTGTGTTAGCTTCGTAACCAGTGGAATTGTCGCTGTCTTCAGCAGGGGCAAGTGCGCTTTCTGTGGTCATCAGCTGTCCAAACTGCAAGAGATTGGTTACACTCTGTAGTCTTGTGGGCAACTACAAGAATTGGGGGGAAAAAGAGGGAAAAAGAAAATCTCAGTTCATTCAGTCTACATGTGTGAAATCAGCATTTAAATTTCTCGGTCCCGTAGGTGCCCTGTGGATGTTTTTTTAGCTATGGCATCTCATCTTTGACTTGTGTACAGTGACCAAAAGAAAAACACCCGAGCAAGCTGATTTGTCTTCAGAGCTAGGGGCTTTCTAGGTCAGCTGACCTCTCAGTGGGGCTACCAAAGGTGAGGGAGAGGATTGCAGAATGTTGCAGACCTGCCTTTTCTCTCTTTTTCTTTTATACAGTCATTCGTCAGTTTGGTTTCACTGAAGCTAATGGAGAGGTACTGAATCAGGAGAGGCAAATGGCAGGGAATAAACAGGTAATGAAAGCTTTCTGCAGCCCAGAACTGCCCAAAACATTTTCAACTTTGACACCTTCAACCTGATTGCCTGCAGAGCAAAGGCACTGGTGTTAGATCACTTTTATGTTATTTATAATTTATAATTATTCTTCAAAATCTAAGCCATAAGACTCTACCAGGAATATGAAATGAGGGTAACCTAAAGGAACCTTTATTGAGAATGATACTCACCAGGGTTGTAAATTCTTCAAATTCTGTGTCATTTCTTTCTCTGAAATCAATTGTTGCACTTTCTTCTCCTTCTAGAACTGAGCTTGCTGAATAAAATTTTAGAAAGTGAGTTAGGATTTGACTCAGCAGTCACATGTCCTGGCTACTTTGACATGTCAGTTCTGTTAAACGTGAGATGTCTGTAGTGTTCCATCTCCCTGTCCCCGTGCACTTCGGTTTGCAAAATTCTTTGAATTACCTGTGAATTCTGCTGTGCTCTTGTACAAGGCTGTAGGATAAAGAGCTGAAGTACAGCCTGGCACAACCTTGAAACACAGCACTTACTAAACACTTCCCAAGGAAATATTTCTTCTTTTAAGAAAAGATTCTCCTCTCCCTCTGGGATGGATACAACTACTCCGGATTTCAGGCTAAGCATTAGCTTATGTATTTGTCTGAACTACTTCAAGCATCTCCTATTTTCTAAAATAGTGAGAGTTTTCACCCATCTTTCAGCTGAGTCCCAGCTGCCACCATTGTTTTTAGAACAATCATTTATGTTTAGGGGTGTAGCTACAGTTTAGAACATATTTCTACACAAATCTATTCAGAGATCTTCCTGAAGTTGCAAACCTTACTTGCCCTAACTTGAATTTTGGAGGTAACAGTGTGAGGTCTCCCTGTTATTCTAGACCCATATATGTCAGCTGTGCTCTTCGCTATAACAGACACTTAAATTTTGGCTCAACAGTGCTTGTCTTTTTACAAATAAAGTAAAACTCCATCAATAGGAAACAGGAGATGGAAGAAGGTAGAACAGGAAAGATAACCAGCAGTATGAGGAAAACATAGGTGTAATTTGATTAAGTTTCATGCTGATTCACTAAAACGACGTTAAGGTAGTGAGGTATCTCTCAGGAGTTTCTAAATCACCGTGGTTGTAACGGTAAGTAAGGTTGCCTGTTAGGCTGTTGCCTGTGGCATAGGAGTTCTGCTAATTCCAGATACCGGTGTTGAAATTGAAGCAAAGAGATAATTACAGGCATTCCTAGGTGTAATTTGATTAAGTTTCATGCTGATTCACTAAAACGACGTTAAGGTAGTGAGGTATCTCTCAGGAGTTTCTAAATCACCGTGGTTGTAACGGTAAGTAAGGTTGCCTGTTAGGCTGTTGCCTGTGGCATAGGAGTTCTGCTAATTCCAGATACCGGTGTTGAAATTGAAGCAAAGAGATAATTACAGGCATTCCTATGATCTCTTTGGGGAGGAGAACAGCTTTTCAGAGATACTGAAAAGCAGGGATTTACCATACCTTTTGAATATTTTTATGTAAGAGAAGTATTCATGACCCATTTATTTTATTAAATCTTAA